TGTAGAGTAGCTAAAGTGTGCACGTTTGCGTTCAAGTGAGGGTCGATGTGAGGCGGGCGAGTGATTTCAGACCGATTGGTGGGTGCAGTTGAGACTTGTAGCGCCCTTGGAGACAGGCAGGTGGGCAGATGCCTGCCAGGCGGATGGTTCTTGGGGTCAGGTATAAAGGCGGAGCTGTCGTCGAAAGGAGCTGATCTGTGCGCTAGTCCCGTCTTCCCGACAAGCGATGACCACCATCATCGTCCAACCAGGAGCATATCAGGTGAGGAGGTGAGGGTCAGATACGGTTGGGTATGGTCTACCCAAAAGTACCTTTGGACTTCGTTTTGCCCAAGTGCCCAATTGCCCAATTGCATGACACCCGGTCGTCCGGTTCTCCGGTACCGGTCGATGCGCGATATCGTCGCCAGCTGGAAGTTCGCGGTGGCACCAGTTGTCCTGGAGACGCGTGACTCCTCCGATGTACCGGGATTGGCGCATGGCAATGGGGCCGCCAGTCGAGACGAAGCGAGGCAGAAGTCGCGTGTGGAGTGAGGAGATTGGGCAACCGGCCGGTCGAGAGGTCGACCCGTCGGTTGGACACCTTCACTTTGGCAGAGTTGACCAGACATTTGCGAATCACGTCGGACGGCTTTGAAGCGCGAATGTGGCGATGGTGTGCTGTTGGCGCCTGTTGTCGTGTCATGGGGATCCCATCAATTCACACCATTCAGGGGAGAATGGAGGAGACAGGCGGTCAGGTGCTATCGCCTCGAAGCGTCTTCAAACCGGCGGTCCTTTATTCACAGACACTGTTGCCTAAGCCCGATTTTGGGTAAGGGCCGAAGCATACGCGACTGGTGGGCGCGAGGAGGATTTATACTTCTTTGTCCATTTTTGAGGTCTACAAACTTTAACCCACTCCAAGAAGAACCCAACCGGGCGGCCTCGACTGTGAAGATGGAGACGCACGACGTTTGTGCTTACCAGCAACTCGGAAGACAGACGAAGCAGAATTGAAGCATCCATTTGGATTGTTACTACTACTATTATTACTACTACTACTACTACTACTACTACTACTACTACTACTACTACTACTACTACTACTACTACT